TTGTTGTCCAATAAAACAGTGGTTATTCGCTTTGAATTTGAGTATTATTAATCACTAGCTATCTATATCAACTCATACTGTACCTCTTCATCAGAGAAGTCAAACTTGTGAATTATAATCGAATTGACGTGGTTATTTGATAACAAATAATCTGAAAAAAAAAGAATTATCAACAATATGTATTAGAAATATCTTTGTGAAAGTAAATAGTACCACAAACTGCCCTCTTGTGATATCTGACACCAGAAAAAAATATATTTATTAAAGTACTTACACAACGAAGTCTGGTTACGGATATTTTCAAACATGATACTAAGAGTCTGTAATAACTGGACACAGATTTGATTGCTGGATYTTTGATTCATCATCTTGTGGAAGTAGATTAACATGTTCTTCTCAAGGAAAAAACTAAAGAGAATGATATAAGCATTGAAGTAAAAATAATATGAAAGCATGCTTAATACACTAAACTGATGTCTATGAAATAAAAAGTAAATGCGTGTAGTGTAATAAAAATACTCATTTTATACTTAGCGACTAYTATTAACTAAATTGCAGTAATTAAGAAGGCTCTATTAAATGGATTTTTTGGTACTGGTAATCAAAATATTTAATGATAGTGAAAAAAAAAAGGCAGATCCTTGCAAGCTGATGGGAATTGAAAAATTAATGGAAATTAACAATTGGATGAATAAAAGAAATGATCCATGGATGAATACCAGTCATACATAGTTTATGTGATTAATACTGTATTTAATCCTCTTGGCTATCTGTATTTTAAAGCCCAGCACTGGTTCTATCACATGTATTCTTGGCATRCAAGTTATGTCATCACTTCCATGTTAAATGAAAATCACAAAGCATTCCTCATTAGCTTCTCTTGTTCATTCATCCAACATGCCGGCRATAGCTTAAATGTTCTATATTTCTCAGGGRATTACTGGTCATRTGGTTGCACATGAAGAATAGCCCCATTATAAACAGCAAACTCATTCTCAAATATTTCAATTATAGGCATGTTTCTTTGCTAAATAACTAAAAGCTTTCAAGACTTCACACAGACATTTAGACATTTGGCACAAATGGTAGTKTTTGGAATGCAAAATATCCAATGCCAAAAATATTGTTTTTATATTTCATGAATACAATGCTAAATATGGTGAAAATATCACCTAATATTTGATAAAAGTCTAGTCTAGTCTTGATTATATGTGCATAATAGAAGTCAACATTAACTAAACCACAAAAATACAAATTAATCTGGCTGCTGTACAGTAGACCACAGTACAACCACAGAAACAGACAAAATACGACATCTTGTGCAAATACATTCAACATGTCGAAAATAGATACTAAGACATTTCATTTTGGACATGGTAACAATACACTAAATGGTATCAAAACTCTTGAAATTGTATGCATGACTGAGACGGTGACAAATGTTACAACAGAGTTTGCTTGCAAAAAATAAACATGATATAAGTATAAATTTAATAAGTTCTTCTACAATATTTCAYATCATTAATGCACAAAGGTAAGGGCCAATGGTGGAAGCATTTTATATTATAGGAAAAGCAGTGAGGATAAAGAGTAACTATTCAAGGCGATGAATAAAAAACGAGCAGCATGCAGAAATTGATTTTACACGCTTCCTATAGGAGACACCAAACAGCGAAGCACTGAATCATGACCATAATTAATTACAAAGCAAATGCGATTATAAAAATGCATACAAATTATTTGTACAAAACTTGTACAATAAAATGCCAGATTAAACTTACTCGAATACTCTGCTGTCATTCTGATCACCCCATATCAATATCTCTGCAATCGAACGCAAAGACTCCACCAAAAGTCCTCGATTCGTCTCGTTGATGACCGAGTTTTTATTCAGAACATAGTGAAGGTACCTGATCAGAAACGTCAGAATTATATTACATTTAACAGCTAAACAACACAAGTATTTCAATGGTGATAGAATAGGAATTATAGTAAAAAAACGAAGGAATTGCGTATCTGATCACTGTAAACGGATTTCAACATCACCTGAGGCTGAAAGTGTTACACGTCAGGCTGAGACTTGTACTACAAACGACAAATATCCCTGTTTTCAAAACAGCTCACCTTAGTTGCTCCAGTGAATGAGATTTCTTAGGCTTCCACAATACGTCAGAGATCCAGTTTTTCTGACGTTGGAACATTTTGGACAAATTAACAGGGTAAAAGCTCTGTTATTTACTTTTGATACAACAAATCGCCGCCATCTTGCTTCCGGATATCTGGCCACGTCACGTGATATAGCCCGCGTTCAAAGTGTCTGCGGTGAATACCAACAGTCCCAGACTTCGCGCTTTTCTAAGTTGCAAAATGGCGGACGGGTAGCGAAGTTTTATTGTTTCAAGAATCTACATGACATTATTGCATTTGATTTAAATATGTCACAATCGAGAGATCGCTTGAARCGTCTGGAAGAAATCGAGCGTGTAAGGATGAATATATTCTTCTGCGAAATACCCTATTTTTTTGTATTTAACTTTSACTTCATTGTTTATAACAGCTTCTCTGCTTTCTTTCAGGAAATCGTTACTGTTTTGAAAAGTGCTGGTGAGACGCTGTCGGAACTGTCAAAGGATGCCCCATCTGACGATGTTGTGAATGCTAGAGCAGCGCAGTTTGTCAAATCACTTGAGGTATTGTCATTATTTACCGGTTGGGTTTCCTGTGTCACCTTTGGAAGTTATTCCTGGAAATGTTTACAAAGCTTGTTCACACAGTTTTTCTGTTGTTCATGAAATGCAAAATCATAGTGCATTTTGGTCTAGCCTCAGTACAAAAAATGCCGTATGTGGCAGCATGAACAAAAGATGTTTGTTTCGAATCTAGACCACAATGCAATGCACACTGATTCAGAAAATATCTTGACGTGCAACAGAAAATCAAACTAATGTAGTATCTGCACAATTAAACTTCTTATAGCTGGTTGAAAAAGGTTTATCAGAGCAAATAAGTTATTTGACGCAAGTTGCTACTGGACAACCCCACGAAGGCTCAACATATGGAGTAGTCAAGGTAAGTGAAATAAGCGACTCTTATATAAGTCCACAGGTTAATGGAGTTTGAAGTCACCTTTTGAAGTTTCTCAACAATAGTCACAAATCCCTAATGATACAAGAACCCATGTCTTTGTTAGCAAGAATTGTTGTGTCAGCCATGCTGCTGCAACTATAGGAAAGTTGGCYGTTTTGTGGCTGCTGTTTTGTATTCATTTATTCATTCATTTATTTCAGGACTTTGAACTTTCATGCACAAGGGCTGCAGTAGTACAAGAAAAACTTGATGAACTAAAGAAAATCATTCAAAAACATGAAGTCTCCAAAACATTATAGTTCTATATTGTACTAGATATTATGTAACTTTAAGATGAATGGCTACAATAGTTGTTAATAAAATGTAGATTTTTGAAATAGTGTCCAACAAGTTTCTTTAAAGTGCTTTTTACAATAAAAATATCTGAAGTGGTAGCCTGCRTTCAGCCAAAACAAAACTGCCATTGTTGCAGTTTTGGTTCGGCTGAACTCAGGCTAAAACTGGGGACGTATCTAAGTAATATACTGAAATACAATTTTTTAGGGGKTTATTTAGGATGTTTGTCAACCTGCAAGACCAGGCGCAGTAGGTGTTGGCATTTGTTTGGAAACTGAGAAGAGTCTGCATCAGTTTCTGTACAAAAAACATAAGACTCAGGTTTGACTGGACGATTTGATGTAAATATTGTGGGAACTTGGGTTTTTCAATGAATTCGTCTCTTTGAATTGCATGCCCACAAGGATGTTGGTATGCACAAAGTTTTCATTTCAGCAATTTTACCCTCTAATCTAATACACACCATCATTCTTTGCCCTAATTTTCACTAACATTTCAATTTTGAAAATAAAAGAAATCACGCAAAGTTCAAATTATAATACACATTTATTGCTTTTCAAAGATGACATTTACTTGAGCTCTTTAACAGCCAAACCTAAAAACAAAAGGAAACAGGTGTAAAAACCAATTAACCCACAATGCCTTGATAGTATCTTAGAAGTCATACTCTTGCTTAGACTACTAGTGTCATATTGATGCAAAAGTTTGACAAGGTCTCTTTTCTTATCAAAACTCGCAAATTCAAAGATTATCACTGAAATCCATTTAATAATACTCTATTGTTCATTCCTAGAAATTACATGCTATTTCACTAATAGAAAACAATAAAAAGTTATTATTATTGTATGAATTCCAGTCATGGTGTTTAATAGATAACTGACATGTGATGAGATAATGGTTGATAGCTGTTTTTTTATCTTTATTTTCAAACTAAAATCTAGTTGCTATTTTGTTTTTCCTCACTCATGGGACTTAAGTCTAATTAACAATTAGACCTCAAGGTCGAGTGGACTACGAGCTAATAGCCCATGAGGTCGAGTCCGCGAGGCCGAATGGGCTATTAAATCGTAGTCCACGAGGCCGAGAGTTCTAATTGTTTTAGTATGAACATACTAATCGGTCAAATAATGAAAACAAATTGAAATATCCTTAAAATAATTTCTTAATGAGATGCCGCCATATTGATTTTCCCGCGAGTAGTCTATCACAAATTAGACCATTAGTAGAGTAGCCAATCATAGCGCAGTATGAGTGATAGACCATTAGTATGTTTATACTAAAGTACAGTAGTCACTCCTCCAAGGCAAGTCTGCTCATATCCCTTGGTTATTATAGAAAAAAAATATTCCAGTTTTCATTCTCTATATACCTGGTGGGAGGGACTGCTTTAGCTTGTCAGCCTTCTCTTTATCTTGAATAACAAGAGTGTATAGATATCTACTACATCGCACTTTGAACTTGACGCTGTCCTTAGTTTTCTTTATTTTGACAGCTATAAACATCAATAAAGCAGCAGCCGTCAATCAGTTTGCTTAATGCAACCATTACATTTTGTGTACCCTCGACATGTCTCAAACAATTTTTGTCTGGGAGACAATACAAGATGTTTGCTTATTTTTCAAAGGCACTTTTTGGGGGGTTAAAAAAAGGAAGTCAAACTCAGGCAACATGTTTTTCTGCAGCCCTTATAGCATACAGGAATGAATAACCTTTTTTTACCAACAAGAAATATTTTAGCAATTGTAAAAAGATAAAAAATCTCAAAAGGGAGTAATTTTTGATTTTGCCTCAATGTAGTGAAAAAACACAGGTCCTCTGCAATAAGGGCTATTGCTTTGATACAATCAGTGAAAATATTTTGATAAGACTGATACTCGATTTATCATCATACTTACATTTTGCATCCTTCTTTCTCGCTGTGACGAGAAAATCTTTGATTTCGTGKATCTGTTTAGGCTGCAATCAAATATCCAGCTTAGAAAAAACGCGTACAAACCGTGTACAGATGTTTTAATCATAAATCCACAAATGAATGATACAGTGAATTGTTAAAACATACCATATTTATATTTTACTGAGATCCTGAGAAGTCCTAAAATACGAAAAATAATAGTAAACATTAGAACATAAACGCGAGTAGAACAACGCTAAAAATACCGCATTAAGACTCAAGGATTCGCAAAAACAAATAAATAAATACACTGYAGTGGCCTTGRATATGTACATAACAACATTTATTTAACAYAATTTWAAAAAAGTAGATGATGTCTGAGATTGAACACGATTTATTTYRCGAACCATCTCACCTTCTCTCAAGTCTCAAAGATGGCGACGGAAAGAGAACGAATTGAGCATGCGCTTCAKKCTATAGCATGCGGTCAGCGGTTATCAYAGTAAAATCCAACATGGCGGAAAAGAGTTGTAAGTATTTTTTCAAAACTACATACATTCTTTATTTAAAATACCGTAGAATAATTCTCTTTTGTGGATTTTAGTCTCAATGAAAAAACGAACACCTCAAAGGTCTCCAAAGAAGAAGAATGACATTTATATTAATAGAAAAACAGACTTCAAAGCACAACTAGAGCGTTGCCAGAAGCTCCTTGATTCGAGGTATTAAGCTTATTATCTAAAAGCTTATATAGGGTTATATAGGACTTTAAACTGACTAACGTGTTTACAAATAGTCATCAGGAAGTGTGGATCCATGGTCTTGGTGCAGCAATCAACAGAGCTATTAATCTAGCACTGCAGCTCAAACACAGAGGMATGGGAACAATAGAAGTGGGTCCCAAACATTTTTRTTGTCCATTGATTTGTTTATAAGTTTRTTTGTTTATGAATGATATTTTTTTCTAGACTTCTGCATTAACTTCAAGTGTAGAGCTGATTGATGACTTTGAACCRCTTGATGATGTAAGAATACTAGAGGAGTTTACACCATACTTTAAAAAATAGAAAAAGAATGATGAAAAAAAAGCAGATCAAGCTGTTCCATATTTACTACACTCTTTTTCCCATAGCAAAACAAAAGCCTTTTGCTTTTCTATTTATTTTTTTTCAAGTAGTTAACACATGACTTAGTTCAGAAAAATAATTATTCAAGTTTCATTAATTTTATTTTTCTTTCTTCCACGATTCCAGCCGTAAATGCTACGGTAATGATGCTATGAATTAAAAACAGAAAATATCCCTGACAAATGGACTGTTTTTGCTAAGTTGTTTTCTAATTTTATTACAGGAACATGAAAGTCACTCCAAAGTAAGAACAAACTCAGCCATCCACATTAGAGTTTACAGGATTCCAGTGCAACAAGGATCAGAAACAGCTTCAAAACCTTAACCAGTTGAAGTGTTTAAATCCTCCTAACACATTCCCAGGGGAAATGGGATGGAACGATCAAAGTCAATATTACTGTCTCAGATTTATAGCTAGAGGCATTATTGCAGATTTATAGCTAGAGGCATTATTGCAGTATATTGCCATTCCCAGAACGACTGTACAACATTCTCAGTAGATGCCAACAAGAAAGTTCAAGATCTTGGCTGAAAACTTTAGTGGGTTTCCACATTGGTGATCTCTAGCATTTGAATGTCGTGTTTGCTAGACATGGAATGACCTCCAACAAGATCCTCATCAGCATTAAATGATGCAAGAGGAATGTGAAGACACTTCAGGTCCCACTGTGATATCAGACTTTTTATTGACCAGTTGGAGCTGTTAAAACAGGAAAATAAAATGAATGATCAAACAACTGAGATTTGAATTACAGTTGACTCTCTTTGAACGACCACTCTCGTAAGCGACCATATCCCTTTTGCGACCACCTTTTAAATTTCCCATTATAATTGTTCCCCATATAAACTCTGTAAAAGAAACTTTCTCCTAAGCGACCATCTCTCGTAAGCAACCACTTTTTCCTGATCCTGAGGTGGTTGCTTACGAGAGAGTTGACTGTACTTAGTTTTTTTTTACCATCTTTCTTGGTATGTTGATAAAAACTTGGCAGATGGGTTTTTCTTCAAAAGGAAGGACACAGTTGCTAAAATGTCTTCAAAATCTGAAGAAAACAGTTCATCAAAATAATATTATGTTAGCCGTGCAATCTAAATGAATTAATTTAAATTCTAAAGATTACATGCAAAAAATAGTCTGTGGATGAAAATTAAAAAATGTTTTTTTGTTAAATTTGTGGAAAACTTTACCTTTTGGATCGTAAAAACAATCTGATCCCAAAATAATGTCTGCATTAGGAAGACTGAAAAAATTAGGAGAAAACTCTCCCCAAGTAATACCAAYAACTTGGATGGAATCAAGTTGGTTGGCATGGCAACTTTTACGGCAGTTTTCAAGGCATTCTGGGAATTCTTCCTTGTCTGTTAGTATGACATTTGCGCCACATAGTGATGCTACTATGCCTGGTAATGCAGTACCAGCTCCAAGCTATAACAAAAACAAGATTCTCTGAACATAAAGACTTCCCAGGGTTTTCCAATGGAATCAAAAAGGGAGTGGGCCTCTGCAAAAGGACAATGTTGTATACTATAAGCAATAATGATAAAATTCCATAGGAACACAGATGAATAATGACTATATTCTCCAAATGTGTTTGCCTCCATAGGGGTCCAAAGATTGCATTCCTCACTATACCTCAATGACTGTCTTTCCTTCAACCTGATCACGATTCACAAAGAGATACTGTGCAAGAACGGGAGCAGCAGGCCAAGTAAACATGCCATATTGCGGATCTACAACCTTGAAAACGTATTTCAATATATTAAAATTCTTAGTATACGTATAAATCACGGAATATTACCTCTGGAATCTGAACTTTGAGTTCACTATGTGCATCTTTAAAAATAAAAATCTTCTCTGTATTCATCAAAGACGTTTTTTTCTGTCACTGAACATATTTCCATTGCATTGCACTGTTGTGTTATGTTGAATTCCTGAAAGGCGTCACTTGTGGTGACCGTGAAGCCTGGGTTTAAATAGTGCCAGTCTCCATGAATCTTTCACGGTTTTCAAAATGGCGTTCTGATGTTGTCATCTTTCTTTCTTCTCTGTCGTTGTTTTTGTCTTTTCTTTTTGCTGTTCTTCTTCTTGTTTTTGTCATTTCTTGTTCGTATTTCTATCTTTCGAAATGTGATGATAAACAACAACTAAGCCATTTTACTTGAAAGCCACAGATACTCGAAGACTTTCTCTCTGTGATAGTTGTCTTTACTCATATGATGTCCAGGTTATATCTGGACAGAGGATTTRACAAGCAAACTTGAGAGAGCAACTGTCTTTGAATGAATGAAGGCTAATGATGAATACTGTGTCTGAAGCCTTTGTTATTTTTTTCATAGCTAAGTTAATATTGAAAAAAATATTGTAAGAGCAGGATGTCGTTGCACGACCAAAAGTTTCCTTGGTTATTTCATTCTTATTAATGGCTGATATTTACCTACGTGCGTGAAAACATGGCCAAACCAAACAAGCCATCAATAAAGAACTTCATTTGATGGCAAAGAATTACTTTGATAAGTGAATATAAATTGCCATAACCAATATATAGCCTGCATACATCTGGTTTATTTTATGAGTCAATGCTGGATGATACTCAGACTAAACCAATACCCATAGCAACTTCCAGTCATGTGTCCACCCTTCTCTTTTTTGAATTAGCTATATATTTGTAAAGAGATAGAGTTTTCATAACAAATGCTGCATAAATTTTATTMGTATATTTTGTTTCAAAAACACTTATATTTACTTAGCAAAGTAAAAAGAAAAAATATGTATAAAAGTTTTGTACATGTATTGCTTTGCCAGAATGCCAGAATGACAAGTAAAAAAACATTCCTGGTATCCAATTTTATGATTTGGCCTATAAAAATAATAAATAAGGACACTTCAAGACCTGACTCCCCGAAACAGTGATAATAATACAATATTCTTATAAACATCCGTTGGAAATAGAAAAAAAAAGCCCATCTCGGTCCACCATATAAACTCAAATGTAAAAAAAAACAGCCAAAAGTTTGTAATTATTTTCTTAAGGTTCAGCTGATAAATATATCATCTCTACATTGAACACTTAAATAATAATTTCACAATGCTATCCACTGCATTATTTGGCTTTTCTGTAACCCTGTGTTGTCTGTAATATAGAGATTTCACTGTACATCCCTCATGTAAAGCATTYCAGTGGAAAAAATTCAATCAAAGTGTTGTCTATTCTGCTGTGGGCAGCCTAATTATTAATATTCTGTCAGTTTTGTTAAATGATGCAGTCACTTTGCTGTCATCCACTTTCGTCGGTAAATCAATCTGTAGTTGATACAATGATGGGACGTTTAACAAGACATCAACCTGAAAAAAGGTAAAAGAAACATAATTTTGAGATTAAGTGAAAAAGAAATAGCAATAAAAATTAGATAATTGTGTACTTTCCACCAACCTCAGATACATCCAGTTCACACTGATTAACTGAAGATACTTTAGGYAACTTTACAGTGATAACAATTTGATCACCAGATTTCACACTCTGCTTTGAGAAAACCATTTCATACTTTGGGACCTGAACATCTTGGTCCTGCTTCAAATGGACCTCTGTTGAAATTTCTTCAATCAGTCCCTTTTTACCACCCTGAGAGCTCTTTGTATTAAATAAATCAATCCCTTGTATGCCATYATCATTGTTGTCTTGAACTGCTATTGAAGAAAGCTGTTCAAGAAGTGTGTCCTTGGTCCCTTCTGTGYCCTTCTGGTGACTTGGTGCTGAGCCAGCCTTTTGAGTTTGGTCCCCAAATGCTCCTGGCTTTAAGTACTTGGTCAAATTAGAACTATTGCCTTTATACTTGGTTTTTAACGTTTTATACTGTTTTGAAACTTGGATGTTTTTAACGTTTTCAAGATAATCTAATGCCAAGTGAACTAGAAGATTCCTATGGTCATTTTTGTGCTCAACATCTTTAAGAACTTTAGGATTAAAAATTACATCAACCACAGAGTGAGTGGAGTCATCAACAGTTATTTCTTGGATAACACCTGCTATCACTGGGATAGGATCCTGGTCGGTTTTTGGAACTGGGACTTGTTGCCATCCGCATATATTTATGTACAACTTATGWGTGATGACCTCTGGTAACTGGAAAGGCAATGACGAAATGATATCATAATTTCTACACAGCATCTCAAATTTTATTAAGAAAATAAGGAAAAGTAGGTCAAGTCAAAGATACCTTAAACTTAAACCGTTGTCATTAACTTAACTTATAAAACTCACCATAACAGTTGATATGCAAAAACAAGGCTGTGGCGGTTTAAATTCTTCTGARCCCTCTTTCAAAGTCTTGTCCATAAACTTTTTGTACGCCTCAGGATCACTGTCAGCTAAATCGCTGAGCATTTTCCAAACGCTATTCGCTTGATGCATGATAGTTTCTGAATCCATCTTGGCCGCCATCTTGGATGTTAGGACTGGGGTCTAGTTGTGCTATGCGCAAAGGATGTCGGGAGTGTTTTGCGCRAAAGATGTATTTTTAAAAACCAAATGAGGAAATCCWAATTTTTCCTATATTTCACCGAGCCTCGTCTACAATTCTTTTGTGTATGTTCACTAAATTATAACATCTATAGTCGGATATTGCACTTTGTATAAAAAAGACAAGCAAGTGCCCGCTGAGAACACGGTTCTGATACCGAGGTCGCAAAAACATTAATTTATTCTAATCTTCTTAGAAGATGCAGAAAAACAGCTTTCGCCTTTGCTGAAGTAAATCCTCCTAGAGTAAGCCCATGACCAACTATGTCATCATCATTTTATCCTACTCAATGTGTATATCTGGAAGTGTTTCTTCCGGACTTTACACATTTCCTGGTGTCGAGAAAGCAATAGAAGGCGTGTTTCTTTAAAGGGACACTGTCAATGGCACGCATGCGCGAGTAAACTTGAAAACATTAGGCTAATGTTTTCAAGTTTATGACTCCAAGTTGGCGCGACATAAATCAGCTCGTAAACGTAAACAGATCTAGAATATTCCAAAGTGTGTCAAAGCACCACAAAATGATTTACCTCGAAGGTAATACTTTCAGAGTCCGTTAGACTGCGCATGTCATCCATTGACAGTGTCCCTTTATTAAGACTGTGCTAAATATATTGTGCTAAATATATTAATTCTTTCTTTTCAAACATTACTTTTGTATAAAATGACAGACTCCTTGAAGCATCATTCACAAAACGAATAATGCGTTGTCCGCTACAAAAAATAAAATAAAAAATACCAGAGCGAAACTTCTTGGGATAATAACGAAGTCCCCTAAAAGCTTTCACTTGATTATGTGGGCTTTTTATTCTGTTTTTAGACTTTTCAGTGCGTCAACTACAGTTTCAGCGTAATTCAAAGTGGGCGAAAAGGGAGTTGCGAAAAGGACTGCTAGAAATAAAAGTGAATCCCCAGTGCTTTATTTTTTAACTTTATAAGTTAGGTGGGYTCTTTTTCTGTTATTTTGTACACAGATTTAYGAGCAAGTGCTTTTTGAGAGTAAAGTGGGAGTCAGCATACGTTGCACTGACGTCATTTGCTTGTTATGACTTTATACATGGTCTTAGAATTAAAGTATATTTGGTTTAATGCTCATTTTGTAATGATAAATTTGCTGAATAAGAAAGATGAATAATTGCCGTTTTTTATTATTCATTCATGAATTTAATCGAGAATTTCTTGCCGTTTGTTATCATCCATTTGCAGAGGAGAGCCTTTCGTTTTCGGATTGTAAAGTCATCTCAAATCGAGTACCTGACGAATGTTCATTATATTTTTTTTATATTTATTATATCTATTCGAAATTACCTTTCATGAAATCACAATTATAGTACTGAATTATTTCATTAAAACCCACTCCACTCAACGACTTTGCCATTCCTCACACAAGTACACTTACTTTGTTCACCGCGTAGTTTTGACGTGTAAAAAGTTTGATTGACAGCTCAAGATCATTGCCATAGAAACGTCATTTATATTATATAATTCAAACTCACAATGCAATGACTTAAAAGCACAGAGCTGTAAGCTCTTCACTCCGATTTACGCTTAGATTTAGAATGCTACAAAGATGAGTGTTACTTAAACAACTTTGAGGGGGATCGTGGTGGGTGAGCGCGAGTCGGCGTTTAGGTGAGCGGAACTGTAAGTGTTACTTAAGAAAATGATTTTTGATTAGGCTGTTTTTATTGGAATTATTTACTTTATTCTTAGTTTTAAAGCAAATAAGCGTTAACGTATTTGTGTATATAGGTGCGTGTCGGGAAAACAACCTCGGCCTTTCGGCACAGAAAAAAACATTAACTTTGCTTGGTAATCAAATATGATTCATTAGTCATGAATGCTACAAGTTTATTATCGTAGTGATTATTGTTTTTATYATTTTCTTACTTTCATCATTTTAGTTTTTACAAATAACAATTGAAATATTTACTTTACCGCAAGCGCAACTCTAATATAAGACCATATAATCATCAAGGTAATAATCATCTTATTACCTTACACATGTACGTTGAGTGGTGTTTTTTAATAATATTTCAAAAACCAACGTAACTAAGACTACACAAATATACCACATTGTCGTTCACTTGCTAATGTTTGATTTTTACTTTATCATCATTAATTATCATTATTATTATTCTATATCAATTYTTTTTTCTAGTTTTGGCATCAGTGTACTGAAATCAGTGCAACCAAACTCTCGTTTCTGCTAGTTATTGTCCCATTTGTATCGACTTCTGTACATGTGAGATTTGGCGTTGTATAAAGTGGGGTACTTTGCTCTCCACTCGCGCGCAAGTATTGATTAAAGGCGACAAGTTTCATGGAAATTCATTCTTACTTATTTGAACACTATTCGACAGAAACTTTATTCTTAAGCTACGTTTATCGAAAACTATTTTAACAAATTGTTTCATTGCGTTTACTAAGTAATATGAACATTTACTGGGAAAAACATTAAAAAAATCAAAACATCTTTCCCTGCATCCCACTGAATAAAATCCCACTCATTTTTCATTATTTCTGACATTTACTCAATTCCCTTTGTTCAAATGTCAAAATTCTCATTTGTGAATGAGTGTCGGCTTAGGAGGCGTTATTTAGCGTTGGTTGGACTGTTTGTTTTTTTCTTTTGCGGGACATGTATATATAGTAGCTGAAACAAGAGTATTTGTTTGGTTTGGCTGKCATATTGGACGAGCAACTGAATAGAACTCAAAAACCTGAGGTAGGCTTTTCCCAACTCATAAAAAGTGTAGAAATAATATGAATTTTCATGCTCATAGAAGATTTTCTGAGTTTGTAGAAGCTTTTTTGGTGCTTATTACTTTTAAATCTAAATTCAAAATTAAGATATAGAATGCATTATCTCAACTAGAGGATTACTTCGATTGTGCTCTCGACCCAAGCTTTTTACCTGGAATAAAACTGAAATAATAACTAGCCCATTTATTACAATATTTCCGTTGATATAAGCTAGTTTATTACAATCAGTAAGTTTTTGAAATTGTCTTTAAAAAGTCTTACTTTACCTACTATGTATCTTCAATATTTACATTGTCTTTGCAAATAAAGATTATTTTTGAGATTAAAATAAACAGCCGGCAAAGAAGTGTATAAAGCCTTTCCTTCTCTTATGTAAACTCAGAATCTTTTTTCATTAAAAAGTGATTTGTTCATTTTCCAGCTTTGTCACTTCAAAGTGGTTGAAATAAGTCAACAAAGTGATATTTATATTTCACTACTTTGTAATATTAAGTGAACTAACCGCCGTTTTATATCGATCGGTGACAGTGTATCGACGTAATCATGAGAAATGATGTAGAAGCTAGTTATAGATAAATGTATAATGTATCAATGTTACGCACCTATTTCATCCATATACGATTCTCCTGGAAAGGAGAGGAGTCGATAGGCATTGTGGGAGTTGGGTCAAAAGGCATTGTGGGAGCTGSGTTAAAAACAACACAGAGCAGCGCTTTTAATAAAACTTTCTCCTTCTGTTCTGTTCTCGCATAAGTTTAAGTAAATCACTTTATATACACCGTTGCTATTATTATTATTTTTACCTCATCACATTGGCTGTTATATATGTTAACATTTTTAAGCCGTTCACATTATACAACATGATCCAATGGAATAAAAAAACCGGTCAAATTCGACTCTACCTAACTACATACGACTTTTGCGGTATACACGTGCAGTTTCTTTAGAAGTGAATTTTACTTAAATACGTATGAAATAAATCGTATAAACTAGCTAGCTAACACTATTTATAAAGTGGTTTTGTACAGAACTGTTTATGTTTCCTTTGTCCGCTAGATAGCTGCTAATTGTTATTTTCCTGGCAAAAATTCTTGCCTGGAGATTGTTTTTTCCTGGATTTCTCGCTGGCAACCAGTTGCGCCGCGACGTAGGACTAGCTGGGACATAAGAACGGTTACATTTCTCCCAGGAACTCGTCTGCTCCTTTTAGCTACAACAACTTTCATAAGTTCCTACCATTGATTTCATACATTCAGCACTGTCATATAGAAGAGCTATCAGAAATAGATATTTTCAGAAWGTTTTGAAACTATGTACTAAATACTAACGAAGTTATGGAGGATCAAAAATACAAGGATTTGTATGAAATTCTTTCAAAGAGCCCTTGATGGCCTCGTTTTGGAGTTTTTTGTGCATCTTATAACTCTTAACTTCAAGAAGATTTAATTTTTTTCTGTGAAACTTTCAGAACATATCTTTAGCTTTAATATCTATATCTGAGTAATTTCTTTTGTTAACAGAATGAATTTAACGGATAATATGCAAATTAGTGTTGGCCATTATGAAAGTCGTCATATAAAAATGCTTCAAAATTAGAAAAACAAAGAAAAGAATATCGTCTTTAATCCTTGTTTCATGACAAAAGCGTGAATTAAAAAGCAATTAAAATATACGTTCTTCTATGACAACAATCACTTCAAATCACTTAGCTAGATACCCGAGAGGTTTGATGSGATTACCAAATAAGCTTATGTGCAAATAGTACGTGCAAAGAGTACTTCATACCATTGTTTATTTTGTCATATGGCAGTTTTAACRTAAGTGAATACAATAATTTGACCTTGCAATGAAATTTCGAAAAAAAACGACTATTTATTTAATAATTGTTGCTAAAAAAAGACAAAAAAAGAAATGAATAAAGTCAATGGTTCGAGTAGTTTATGCCAATTATTAATTTCACTCGTACTCTCTTACGTAGCAAGAGTGATTTTAATAAGTGGGGTTTAACACTTAAGAAGGCTGCTGTTTTTATATTGCTCTTAAACAATAAAAGTATCTAGCATGTCGCATACATGTTGAGTAAGATTTGTGATAAATGAATATTTTAATCCGTCTCAAAAAGGCCTAATATTTCAGCATTTTTTATGGATATTATTATTAAGGTAATCACGTTCTTCAAACTGAGTATCAAAAATGAAAACTAACATAAACCTTAGGTAGTAATTAGTTAAATTCCACTCTAATGAGCCACATAAAATGTAAACACTTCTTGAAGTCGTCTTCAAGAAGAGACTTATCCAGATTTATGGGTGACACCTTTCAAATCAGCTCTAATTGAATTCAKCCMGCTTTTTTAAGCGAATAAAGAYGRAAAACTCACTTGTCAAGTTCAATGTATRCAGTCGCTAAAGCTCATTTGACCATTCGAATAATATTATTAGTTTATTGTCGTATAATTGTTCTTGTGCAAAATTAGTCAAAAAACCACAATCCAATTGTTACTATACTAATAATCGCAAACTTTAAGTTTTTTCATAATATTGATATTACTTATCCAATACTTTMAATGTCATAATCATTGTTATTATGACTGTTATTCCTCGGCACTCAATCAAAGCGTAAGCCAAAGAACAAAGCCGCCATCTTGGATGAGTGGACAAGAGAATCTAYTTCACATCTGCATATAAACCACTCGGCGAATTTCATAACAATTTACTTTACATGATGCTCAAAATAATAAATCAAACACAATCACTTAATTTTGCTGGTTTTGCTATTTTTTATGTTTTTCTACATTATTTAATTATACTGTATCAATACTCAACCCACAGAATTGTACTCAGGCAGGACCCGTCACCAGGGATACGAGTTTCAGTTCGGTTTGGGACAAGATAGAAGCTTGCTGTTAGTCGTGGTGGTTTTGGTAAGTATCTCACTGTTTATAATATTTACAAGTCGGACTCGTAAAAGAAGGTAATATCTAAGTAGAAAGATAGTTTTATTAAGTTTTAAAATAGGAACACAGCAGAGTTAATTGTCATTTTCGTGAAAATTCACAGAGGAGCATATTTTTCACGAATTCCTGACACGTTTTTTTTTTCTCTCTTTTTAGTAAGTACTATACTGATCACTCATAATTAAGTCGAGAGATAAATTTTTAAAACAAACATTTATTCTTTCAGTTGAGATTTTGCATCTCTCTAGAGGGCTTCAGTTTATGATCTTGCATGTGGCACACTTTGCCTGCCCTGCGGCTTTTTAATTTAACTAAAAATACGCCAATCCCAATGTTAGACATAGAGGATGTTACGTGGGCGAGCGGAGATAGGGATTTTATCTTCGAGTGTTGAAAAGATCTTTCACGAGTAAACGTAGCGAACGAGTGAAAGAGTTCAACACGAGAAGATAAAATTCTTATCTCCAAGCGAGCATGTAATATTCTGTTTGTCATATAATTATGTCTTAAAAGAGCTTTTTTCTTACTTCCACTATGAAACCTCGAATGTGTTATTTCGTTCACTAGTGAAGATAAAAACGTTACGTAATCTGGTAATGGAGAAATATAGGTATTTTATTGATAATTATATGATAAATAAATGTGTATATCAGATTCCATGTCTGC